CCTATCAAAGACCTATATTAAGGATTTAAGTAGATCACAGTCCCATCTTTAGTCTTCTGCAGGATTCACACAAGGAACATATAGTTTCCTTTATAAGTTGTCTTTGTTTACTGACCACTTTGCTTAGTAGCTGCATCTTTACCATGGAAGTGAAGGACATGGCTTTTAAAATAACAATAAAAGTTCTCTTCATTTAGAAGCAGTATTTCATGTAACTTTGCAGAGGGACGTAATTAAAATCTTGGCCTTTAATGAATGACTATGATATGTGATAAGTATTATGATTTTGTATTTACAAGTCTACCATATTTTATTTGATTATTAATAAATTAAGCACACCAGCCTTTGTATGAAGAAAATCTCTTAGGAGTGGTTAAGAACAGCAGAGGTAAGGCATCTAGTGCTGGCAAAGCTATTGGAGGAATAAGCAGCCATTGAGGAAGAAAAGCAGTAGTGGGAGCTGATGAGTGCACAAAATTGGCAACAGAAAGTCGTAGCACAGGGTAAGAAAATCGCCCCACTGTATTTTCCACTGCGTGCATCCGATGAAGTGAGCTGTAGCTCGCGAAAACTTATGCTCAAATAAATTTGTTAGTCTCTAAGGTGCCACAAGTACTCCTTTTCTTTTTTTAGAGAGCAATTGGGAAGTGTCATTTTAAACAGGCAGTAATCATTAGCTGTTTGGGTGTCCATGACATGAATCTGGGATTTACATCCATACTCAAAATAAACAATGGGTATATTTTGAATGATGGGTAATTTGTTTGGGATTATTTTTATTTATTTTTTTTTTTTTGTGATTTGAGCTTTACTCTTTTGGTTATGATGATAGCAGATCTAAGTGGAACTATAACCACTTTATTCTTTACTGCCTTCTTATTCCATGTACAAAGCACTTCATGCTGCTTCATCTTGCATTCCTGGGTTTTCCAGTTTTGTTTATGGAAAGCTAAAACTTACTAGATAGCATATGGTATATATTGTGATCTATACAATTTCCTGTCTTAGGCTGTACAGTGTAACATTATCCTGTAACCTTTGAAAGATAAGGAATGGAAGTAATGTCCAAAAACATTTGGGAGCAAATCCTGCCTCCTTATCCAGCACGCGCTCCATGACTGTAAGGAATCCCGATCCACTTCGATTGCACTGTGTGGTGGAGCAGAATGCTGGGCCCCAGTGCATTGGACCCAGGTACTCTTCACACCATAGGTATTTGTTGTGCATGGACTGCCAGTGTTCCAGAGCACAGCCCAGGGAGCTGGGGGTTTTGTGCAAGCAAAGGAGGAGTGGGCAGACGGATGTGTGGCTATTGCCGCTCTCCTCATAGAAAGGATAGGAGCTATAGAGGCTCCTGCAACTCTGAGGCTGTAACAGCAGCTGTAGAGTATTTTAGGGGATGAGTTATCCTCCTCCCCCTCAGGCCCCCAAAGACTTTTGCAGCACACAGTCCAGTTACGATGTATGGGAATTAGGATTTTCCTTTGTTGCATGTATTACTTTTACTTTGATCTTGTAACGGATAACCTCATAATTTTAAAATCACTATGAAACAGGCACATTTCCATTTGATTAAATGCCTGAGAACAACTTGGAGCAGAAATTATATCTGTTAATTTAAAGCAAATTTTCACATAACGCCCTTTCTGCCCTCATCACCACTACCCCTTTTTTCATTTAAGCCTTGTCTAGACTTATCTAAGGGCTGTGTGAGGGGTCCGCCATTGGAACAGTTCCCTGCACACCCTCTATGCTTATGGAAAAGGTCATGAATTGTGCATCAGCTGGCAAGGCCACTTCAGAGGCAAAATGGGGGCTGCACTGTATACCAAGGTAGGGGTTGTCAGTTCACATGTAGACAGTCCATGGGCTTTTGTTTCTAAATCTTCTGTTTTAATGATAACTATCAGAATTCTGAATATTCCGGTTATCCATATAAATGTTTAATCTTTTTTTAAACTTGCTAAATCCTTGGTCTCCAATATCATGTGGCAGTGAATTCCACAGGCTAACTATACCTTGTGAGGAAAAATTATTTCCTTTCATCATTTCTGAATTTGCTACACTTCAGTTTTATTCAGTCTCTCTTTGTTCTTGTGAGATCAGACAGGATGAGTAATTCCTGATCTACCTTCTGTCCATTATTATTTTGTATACTTTGATCATGTCCTGTCTTATATCATCTTTCTCAGGTAAAAGTTCCAATCTCTTCAATCTCTCATCACACATCTCAGAGCCCCCTCTCTTTCTGCTGTAACTTTTTGAAAGGTGGTAACCAGAATGAACATATTATTCCAGGTTGAGGGTGTGCCTTTGATGTACAGACGGGTGAAATCTTGATCCCAGTGAAGTCAATGAGAGCTTTGCCAATAACCTCAGTGGAGTCCAATTTTGCCCAATGACATTATGATATTTTCCTTATTATTCTCCATCCCACTCTTTATAAACTCAATTTGAAAATTTGGTACCTCAGAACTTTAATTTGGAAAACAACTGTCTCAGTTCTCTCCCTAAATTTTGGAAACCCTCAGATTAGCAGTGTGGGCCTGTGGGCAGCATTAGCTTGTCCCAAAAGCATTTTGATGATACATTCAAATTTTGTCCTGGATTAAACCTGTGCAACCCCACTGAACCCAGATGTAACTGAGGGCAGAATTATCGCCCAACACTTTGAAACAATGTATCTGACTTCCTCAGGTAACCTTTCACTTGTGAATCAACTAACAAATACTTTATATGGCACATAAAAATAAAAATGCAGCTGTTGTATATAATGTAGTATCAGTGTATGGTATAACTCGTATATTTTTATAAAATTAGCAACAACAAAAAATCTATGAACTTCTGGGTTTCCTCCCCAAAAATATCTAATCCATGTTCAGATTCTTACCAGCTAATAAATACAGTAAATAAAATGTTAATAAATCACTTGCAATTTAGCCTGACAATGTGGATTGACCGCATTGATTAAATTGATTATATTTCATATATTTACAATATGTAGACACAAGCCCAATTTATTTTCTGAAGAGTTCAAGGTAGGTATCATTGGTTTAAAAAAACAAAACAATGGAGTAATGTTTGTGGTTGCTATCTGCAATAATCTAATGCTGACAGAGAGCAGTATTTTATTTAGTAATTAACAGTGTAAAGGGGAGAGAAGCTGTCATGTTGGTTCTTAAGCTGGGGAATGTGATGAAAGATGATATCTGCGATCTCATCCTTTCCACTTGTTTAGGATTGTCAGGATGAGAAATGTCAGCATTATGAAAGCTCAGCTCTGCTCTTGATATGATAAAACCCTTCAAAAGCCAGTCTTTCTCTCCCTCTCCCCCTCCTTTCTCCCTCTCCCTGCACTTGCTTTTTTATTTATCCTGTTTTGTTAGATGGCAGAAATATAATTCTTTTCTTTCTTCCTATTATAAGCCACCATTTTTGTTTTATTATATGTTTCACAACCCCTAATGCCCCACTGAAAATTACTTTGTTAAATGACAGTGTTTCAAAGCCATGAATCCTTTCCACCATTCCCTCAGAGGTTTGAAACAGTCAACAGACTGTAAAGAATAAATAATAAAAAAGTATTGATTATTTTGATGACTGTGAGATTCAATTAAGTATTAATTTTGCCCTCCAGTGGACCTATCAAGGTATTCAAAAGGGAGGATTCAGCTCAGCTAAATGCGTGCTGAGTGCTTCAGCCTTAAATAGGGAGAAAATGTGTTTACCTACAGTATTTGAAGAGGAGTGCATTGATGCACAGAGTCCAATATTTAAGTGCTGTGCAAATTAAGCCCTGGTGACAGTGACATTGTTTTCAGCGATATGAGTATTGACTAAAGAAGTGCATTTGATGACAGCTTAAACTATTTGTATTGATTAACATTTTCATAGATTATCATGTGTCATATCAAATTCACTTTTCAGACATGAATACATTAAAAAAACCCATAGGCAAACATCGACCAATGTGATGATGGGACATAGGGAACATGCTAACCAACCTACTTGCACGCTGGTCACCTGTTCTCTGCATAAGAACCATTTAGGCATGAACTTTGCAATAAATAGCTGCCAGATAGCCCAACAAGGTCACTTGTTTCTTTTCTTTTTTTGCTTTTGAGTCTGGTTTCTGAGCTGTAACGATATTATACATCTTAGTTTGCAAATGGAATAATAGAGTGTACTTGGAAATAATATCTGACCCCAAAATGCCCTCTGAATGAGCTGAAGATAAAACAGATCCAAATCATCAAGAACCAATTTAACTAATATATATAATATTTTATGGGAGTATAATGTCCCAAATACAAGAATAATTGCAAACACTGTGTGTAAGTATCTTCACTGATTTTCTCTCTTAAAAATTTATATCTGTATATATTGCTTTTTTAAAATGTGTTTATGGGCTTTTGGGGCACAGTATCCCAAAAGCAAGAATAGTTAGAACAAATATATCTGTATTGAGTGTATATGATAAAATGGTTATTTGTTGCTTTGTATTTTCACTAAAACATTTGAATGATGAACATTGTTGTGTATGATTTGGTTAATGCTATTCAAGTGAGGATGCTTTTTTAAATGCCTCTGGAGCATACACAAGGTGCTACTCTTCTGTGTTGTTGGAGCACACTTGCAGCAATTTTATTTTCTTTCCACGTTAAGGAAAGAGGGAGGTGTAAAAACATACACACAGAAAACCCACATCCCACAATTAAAGCTGTGTTGCTTATGTTGCTTTCATAGAAGTTTTTCTCCAAAGCATCCTGAATCTCTCACATGCTAGTTGAGCTTTAATAGGGTGGGGAGTAATGGAAAACTCATTGGATCTGTAATAGCTCTTCACTTGACTGCAGCCAGCAATAACAGCAGGAGCAGCAAGAGATAAGAGAGTGTGTGTGTGTGTGAGAGAGAGCGAGAGAGGGGGGAGTGGGAGAGACTATACGCACACCAAAGCTGCCACTTTTCCCCCCCTCATTCTTTTTTCCCCCCCATCCTAGGATCCAATGATAGCTGGACAAGTCAGTAAGCCCTTGCTGTCACTGCGGAGTGAAATGAATGCAGAGTTGAGAGGTGAGGACAAGGCAGCTACTTCAGACAACGAGCTGAATGAGCCCTTGCTTGTGCCTGTGGAATCAAATGACAGTGAGGACACTCCCAGCAAGCTCTTCGGTAAGTCTGTCTAGGTATTTCATTTCAGTGTTACCATGTTGTCCGGAAGAGCAATCTCCCTCCCCCCCCCCCTTATTTTGTTTGCTTAATTTTCTTGTAATACCAGGGAGTAGCTTGGAGTTTGCAGGTGTACAGCCATATGCTCTGACTTTCAACTGGGTAACAGAATGACAGCGTCATGTCCTGAAAACTTTTGTCAACAGTGAACTTATTCCATGCAAGTTGTAGGCATTGCATATTTTCTCTTGTTTAATGGTCTCAAATATAAACACAAATAAGTGATCCTGCTTTGTTGTCATCTTTTATTAACATTTATTGCCTAACTATTGACTCCAGCATTTCAGTTTCTCACAGTCCCTTCTGAGGATGAAGTAAACTAAAGTGTCATTATATCTAGTAAAGTGAAAGCTAGGAGAGAAGAGAACTGAAAAATGTCCATAGAAAACATTGTGTATTAAGTAAACAAAGGGTGCAATGGGGATTGCTTTCAGGTATAATATTTTTACAGTTGAAATTAGAACTAAAATATTGCTTCCAAAGGATATAGAGGGAGAAAATACATTTTTACACAGCATCTTATGGCAAACGAAAACACAGCCTTTCAGGTGTAGTTGTTTCATATCCAAAACAAGAGCAGTGAGAGTGACATTCCAGAATAGACATCTGTCATTCACACAGATGACACCCTGTAAGCCAACTGAAGCAAGTGTGATCTCTAATCAGAAAAGGGAGCGGAGTAGTTGAGGCACATGCTTGAGTGATAGATGTTGATAGATGTCTGTGCTGGAGCAGCACTACATGGTACATAGTGACATTTTGGTTTTAGAGCAATTGCTCCTGAAAGAGTTTCTTTTAATTATATCCATTTGTGACTTTATAAAAATCTTAGACGGAATGGGGTGCATTCTTACATTTTACAAATTCTCAGAGCTGGAACTTTAAGAGGAAAAGATCTTGTTTACAAGGGAATGCAGTTTTGAGAGAGAGAGATCCCATTTTCTGAGATTCAAGTTTTGATTTCATGATCTGTACGGAATCTGTAGCAATGTGGTGTCTATACCCTAGACCTACTAAGAAAAACTGCAAAATGATCTTTACAAAAAATACATGCAATTTTCTTTTTAAAAGGTGTCCTTTCATATTATTAGAAGCGACACATATTGTACAGAATGTTTTATTAAGTAACTGAATTAGAGGGTGAAATAAAATGTGAAGATTTAATTTCTAGAATACAGTAGTGACCACTATGGAATGTAGCCACACCGTTTTAAGCAACCCCCCCCCCAATAATTTTTTGTTTCCATGGAAAACAGAATTTCCATTAGCAATTTGAATGTTCAAATTCGATATAAGAATCATTTTAGTCCATTTCATTAAGAGAAGAATTGTGATGTCTAAAATTCAGAGGGCTAATACTTGTGTGTGGTGATCTAAATATCTTCAATAATGTTCATGTATTTTATTTGATCAGGTGTTTAGGTGGCAAGAGATTAATATATATCTCAAAATATCAATGTAAAATATGACAACATCCTGAAAATTTGTACTTAACCTGAGACTACCAATATGTCTTTACAGTCTGGTTTTATTTGGTTATGTTATATGTTTTAGATTAGGCAAGTTTTATAATAAAGGGTGGGATGTCCCTGGGTTGTCGTCATTTTTGCATGTTTAAATACCATTGTAGAGCACCTAAGTAGTTTCCTTATATTTGCTGTGTAGGGTAAAAATAAGGTACCGTAATCTTTTTTCCTTTTGGATTGTAAATTGTTAATTTTGCTTAGCTGCAAACCATAATGAAAAAGATACAAGTGAGCATACTGTGCATGAGTACTTATTTGTGAGTTTAAGGTGTCTGCTACTCTGCTTTCATACTTCTAACAAGGTATCACCGAAGTAAATCATAGCAGAAGTAAATAGTTTTTAACTACCTCAAAGTGAACTGTGTAGCATTTATCTAGGTTTTCCCTTTAAGCAGTAACCTTTACCAATGAATTGTTGTAGCTTTGGGACAGGACATTGTAAAAGACAGGACAATGGGACTATTCGGCAGGATGAAACTGGATAACTTATTTAAGACAAAGACACTTGGGAGGTATTCAGCTGATGTAACACAGTTTATTAAGTAATTCAGTGTTTAATTGCTTTCTTTGAAAAATATGACACACAAAATATAGCGGTATTCTAGAGCAGCTTCTCTGTTTAGAAATTTGAATGGCATGTTAGGAATGCACACTTTGGGCCTTACTCTGCAGTCTCTTGTATTCTACATGTCTATGATGTGCATAAATTGATGCAAAAACTGGCATTATTTCTCTGATAATTTTCTTTCATATGAAACAAGATTAACATTCCCTGAGTTTCTTATCTGGCATTTGGTACACATTGTGGGGACATTTGCCAAATACTTGGTAACAAGTGAGGGGAGGAGACTGGCCCATAGATGAAAGTTACACAGATTGTCTTCTTCAAATTTTGGAATAATTGTGTATACTATCTTACTTCGAATGACCAGCATTTGATCTTCCCATGTCTTGCTAAACTTAGCAGCATTTCCTGGGTCATATTTTCGTATAGATTAACTGATTTTATAACAGTTTGAATAGATCAGGCACAAATAGTGTTTTCCTCAGCATCAGGTATGAATGTCTCTACTTGGTACCTAATTTTCTTTTGACAGACATGTTTGTTGTTGTTGTTGTTATTATAAGTACCTTTATCCTTCAAGAATGTTTCAGAAAATGCACACCCCATTTTCAACAGTATCTAGGGATGGAATAATGGGGATGAGATACCTCTGGCCTGCACACACATGCTCTCTCTCTTTCTCGCTCGTTCACTCTCTCTGTCTCTTTATTGTGCTCGCTCTCTCTCTTTTTTTATAGTATCTCAGAGTAATGGAGCAACAGATATTCATATCTTGTTTTGCTAGAGAATAGAGCAACTAGTGTTAGAAAAGACTCTTCTCCAGCAGCACCTTCAGTTTCAAGTGGTGGAGATAGAGGATTAAGATTGACTATACTCATTTTTGGCATGTGAAGGATGCACAGTGAATTTTTGGCCTAATCCTGTCTCCTAAATGTTTATTTCGCCACCAGTGGCAGAGGAGGTGAAGGCATCAGCTTTTCAGATACCAGGAACACAAGTCCGACTAGAGGCAGCTTTCCCACAAATCTTAAGCAATTCCAGTCTGAAACTCTGAACCAGGTCTTTAACTGGTGTACCAGCTAATTTATAGAGGCTGAGGATATGGCCCTTTGTCTTTGAGTATCCCCTTAAAGTTGTGATCAAACCCGTTATTTCTAATGCCGTTGCTTTTTTGTTTGTTTTTAGAAATAAAAGTCTGTTCTGTGATCTTTCGATATTGTGTGTCTTACCTCAACTAGGCCTCATAGACTTACGTGTCTATGGACTTTTGACATCTTTAGAGAATACTTATATGCAAAACTTTAAATGTTTGAATCATGCTAAGCAACAGTGGGAAAACAAGATAAGAGATGCTGCTGCAAGTGCAAAATGTCAGAAAAGGATTTTAGTGTTCTGTAACATATTACATCAGAGGTAACATTTTGCTTAACTTGCAGAGTTATAAAAGCTACAGTATACTTATGAGATATAAATCCAGATTGCGTTGAGTAACATGAGATCAGGTAATTGTGTATGATATTAAGTGGCATATTATTTATTCTTGTAAATATTGGAGAAGAGTTATCTACTATTTCAATCATGACTCCTTTATGTTAAGAGCCAAATAGAAGCACAGAATGTTTAGTAAGTCATTGACTTGGTAGAGTGCTGTTCTTAAATCAAGTAGGTTATGTTGCACTGTGTTGCAAATTAATGATACAGGGCCAAATCCTAGAGTCATAGCTAGAGGAAGCTCCCATTGATGTTGATAGGAATTTTACCTTAGTAAGGACTGAATAAGTACTAGAGGATTAGATTCGAAATTATTTAAATCCTGCAAGGTGTTCATTCAGTATCTTGATGACTTATTGTAAAATGTTTAAATCCATCTGATAAAAGCCTGATAATGGGGAATAAAAACTTAATTATTAGCATTATACAGTTTCAATAATTTGGTATAGAGAGGAGACATGGAAGCAATATGTACTGAACATAAAAATAATATGTAAGGCTTGATTCAACTCTCTGAAAGCCATTGGTAGTCACTTCATGGACTTCCTCTAACATAGAGCCTAATCCAAATTCCATTGAAGTCCTTGGAGAGATTACCATTGGCTTTCATGGAGTTGGATCAAGCCCTTAATGGACCAGATTCATTCCTGGGGTAACTCAGTTGCTGATGATGAAGATACATTTACACCATATTAAGATCACTTACTCAAATATAAAAATGTAATCATTTTGGGCCTGCTCATGTGTTTTTACACACCTTAAACTTTCTGTGAAATTAGAGATTTTGCATGGAATGCAAGATCAAGCCTCATGCTCATTTAGCATAAATGTTGCATATTTAATTTTGCAGCATTGCAGGATGGATTGCCAACATTTCTCCTACTGGCAACACTTCATTCTGTTCAAGTTAAATCTCAGGCTTGCTTTGCTTATATATATAAATAATGTGTGTGTGTGTGTGTGTATTAATTTCCCATTTTTAAATACTGAAAATCAGTTTTGACATTTTGGTTTCCTTTACAGTATAGTTATGCAGAATTTAGAATTTTCTACATTTTTACTTCTAAGTGTGCTTGTGTGTGACAGTGGTGTTGTGAGGCAGGATAGAAGTTAGAACAGTAATTTTGCTTTGCTAAATTGCTAGAAAATCCACAGTATATCTCTCTTCTCAGAGCCTCTTTTTTGCAGAAAAACATTCATTATGTGATTTATTTTTTAAATTGTCATCCAGGTTGGCCTGATTAGAATTTATGGCACAAGAGTCATTTCAGATACAAAGGATGAAAGTCTAAATTGTCTTTCACTCCTTGAGACAGTGGCCTCTGCAGGTCAGAGCAGAGGTCATTGTGAGGAAGCTCACA